TAAATGGGTAGGTTTTGTATTTAAAGCATACAAGTGTTTTGTAAGTTTAATATGTGGATGTATCAACAAATGTATGACACCTCTTTGAATTTATTCGTCAATCGTGTTGAAATGATTTTGATTTGGAAAGTATTTATTTCTAAAGGTGAATTTGTTTAAAAAGTAATTGAAATCTCGCTAAAAATTGTAGTATTTAAAACTATTTATAGCACAATTATGATTATAGTCGAATTTGATAGCTCGAGAGTCGTCTTTATAATTGTACCAAGATACAGTATAGGATTTTACTTTACGACTTCGATCATTCAGCAGAAATGAGTATTATAAATTTCAGTGATGGAAATATAAGTTTATTGCTTCCGGCGAAGGGACTTTGCATGCAATGTATTTCTAGTAAAAATATTATATGTGGCAAAAATGTGTTACTTTTTCCATTATTTACACATAAAATTCATTATTTATAGATAATGTGTTTTTTGCTAAATAATTTAAACAAATAATGCATTATATTTTATATAATCCGTTGCTGATTTATAAATAAGGAAAACATTATTTAACAAATAGTGCATTATTTATTATATCCATCCCATGACTGTAAATAAGGCAAACATATTTTAACATATAATAGCTATTTATTTAAACAAGGCATTCCTTATTTAAAGCGAAGGTAATTATATAACAAATAATGAATTCTTTTCGCAAGTGTATGCCGAACGCCAAATGGCATCTGCAGCCTAAAAATGGCGTCCGCAGGCCGAATTCTACTGCTGACCAGCAGCAATGCAGGCATTAAAAGGGGGGGAGATAAAAAATGAATTGAGCGGAAAATATACGAAACAAATGGTTTGCGAATTTTGTTGAAAGAAATTTGTTGCTGGTTGAACGCATTGATCATGAATAATTCATCGGAAACAGAACAGTCGCCGACAAGGTATGTTATTTTGCAATATGTTTGTTTGAACACGGCAATAGAGATATTGTAAACATATTAAATCATAACACGATGATGAGGAGACACAGGGCCGTCTCCAGCGGTTAACTATTGGGGGGGTGTCGAAGGCCAAATTGCAGACTAATTCCTGTTCAATTTGCCGAGTTCTTTAACGAAAGCATTAACTTTATCTGCAATAAACAGTGCGTCTCATAATGGTGCAATCAGTTTCGGTATTACGGCCAATTTTGCCAATTGTAAAGCCGCGTAAGTTTTGAGGCCTAGTATAAAAACTCGTTACCCCAACGTGACAAAATTGTAATATTTTGATTATTTTTCCATGAGGTATTTTACAAATTTTAGTACGTAGTTTTATATGTTTAAACAAAATAATAATGGGCAACATAAATGATTAGCGATATTTACATATTTACAAAGTATCCAGTAACGTTGGACGAGTCGCAACTTCTAGAAGGAAAACGCTCCCAATACTATACATATTAGCTTAGCGGTGTATTAGAAGTTGTCTCTTCTTTAACGGGCTCCACGGGCTTTGTTTTTAACAAATTTCAACTTACTAAATGAGCGTTCATTTGAGGCGATAGTCACAGGAGCTGTAAGCATTAATCTGACCATGGAATTTGCCAATGGAAGTGACAATTTGTTGGATTCGCTGACTTTAACTACTTTGGTACAGTCGGTTCCCACATCAGAAGGTAATAGCTCAGACAATACCTGCAATTCGGCTTCTAAAGCTAATGCATAAGGCGACAGTGAAGGTGGAAATAGTGTGATGGCTGACTGAACATGCGACACATCAATTGGTGGCTTTAGACACTCCAACAAATGTAAAATGCGCTTCTTGCACTATAGCAAGTGTTCTTTCATTCGAGTTGTGAGAACGTCAAGGGCTTCATGAAACTGTTTTCTATAAAAAGCTGGTAAGGAAAGTACTGCAGCACTTTCAGGTTGCTCATCCAGGCGTCTAGGCACTTTCCTTAAGCGATGGTAACAGTGGAAATCAATTTCAGGGTCAATTCCAATGCTCCTGGCGAGGGTGGTGGATGCCTCAATTTGATTGCCCATTGCTTTGTCGTCATCTCGCAACTTCTGCATGACACTCAACGTGCCCTCAACAAGATCAGTGGCATCTAAGATGTTGAGTTCAGTTGATTGTAACTGCACCACCAGACTCTTCATCTTGTATGCAACATTTTTCATGAACATCAGTGCAATGACAAAGTCAAGTGAGAGCATTTTTTTTCTTAAACCAAGCGCCTGGGTTTTTGTGCTTGCATCTGCGCCTTTGCTGCTTGCAACTGCGTGTAACACGTCAACAATGACTTGGAAGGATACCCATACAGCTTGAATACTTTCCGCCCTCGAAATCCATCGGGTTTTGGACCGGTTTCTGAGCATCATTCTTTTAATGGCTGAAACATTTTTTTACTCAACGGGAAGAATACATAGAGGGCCTGTAGTGCCTCAAACATTTCTTGAATAATGGGGCTTGCATTGCAACCGTGCTCAAGTACAGTGTTGTAGCGGTGGGCTTGACATGGTATATATGGGATCTCACATCCAACAAGATCGGACAAATGCTTCTGAGCACCATTAAATTCCCCGGACATTGCAGCAGCAAAATCATACGATTGAAAGCACAGACCTATCGGTGTTCAACCAGACCGCTTTATCGTAGAAATGATATCTTGTGCTTGCCCATGACCTGTCTTGTCCTCCGTCTTTGTCACATCCAGTAATCTCTCTCTTGGTTCTCCATTCGGACTGACATATCTTAGAACAACCGAGAGCCTATCTGTGTGTTCTTCATCAGGTGTAGTATCTGCCATAACGGAAAACATGTCTGCACATTTAACATCTTCGACAACTCTCACACGCAGTTCCTTCTCAAGCAACGAGATAAATTTGTTCTGTGACTGAGGGCTTAGATAGGTCACGTGATATGGATTCAGCCTTTTGTCACATATCCACCGCTTTAAGTTTGGTACGTGCCTGCTTAACAAAAGGACCACTTGCATAAAATTCCCATGTTCATTGCTGTCACCTCTGAAGGGAAGAGCTTGGCGAGCAAGTGTCTTCGCGACATGAAGAAGCATGGTGATAATTTGGCGATTATATTCCATGTCTTGTGATTCTTGAATTTGTGCTGCTCATTTTTCTTATCTAGTTGGGCGTCAATATGCTTTGTTTTCTGCAGGAAGTGACAATAAGCACCCAGAGAAGCTTTATGACTTTGTGAGGAGAAGTGTTGAACCAGTTTTCCAGGTTTGGCCTTCCCAACGCTTTTCATCTTGTGCCATTTCCTAACGCCTGAGGACAAGGTTCCAATAGATTCCATCCAGTCATTCCAATATGACTTCTGGTTCAATTCTGAGTCTTGATCTACATTTCCAGGAGCTACACTAATCGAATCTTCAGGAATATCGTGGGTGGGGAACTGAGAGATTTGCGAGTGAGCATCTGTAGTTTGGGTGATGGTTGACGAAAAGACAGGAGAATTATCAGACGCAGGTTCGGATGCAGGTTCTTTTATTGCCACTAAACATAATTCTTTTGTCATTACTTACGATACAACTAATGAAGTGGATTTTCGTACTGGAGCAGTACAACGACTCATTTTCGATCGTACTGCAGTGAGCAAATATTTGTTGAGTTTACTTGCGAAAAAATTGTTTTAGTGACATATATTTGTCACAGGAAGTATTGATCCATTCTTATTTTAACTATTTTAGCTCGAATATTGTTCCATTTCAGACGCGGCTGTCACTAAATACATGGTAATATTGTAATATATAAAAATATTGTAATACTTGCCATGGCTAGTAAGGGCCAGCTGGGCCATGATGTTATCGCATGTTTAACAGAAGTCAGAAATAAGAGACCATTACAAACTACATGTCTAACTTTAACTATTCAATAAAAAGTATATTGTCACACGTTTAAAAAGTTTACTGTGAAAACACTTACTATATTCGCCTATATCTTGGACTTTCTCCATAGTACCTACTGTCTGTTTGGGGTTCAGGCACTTCTGACGGAACATATGTTTGGCTTTTACTGCGCGCCTTTGCGGCTTCGAACGGATTCGCTGGTGCGTCTTTATGTGCTACTCGGACCTGTTTTCCTTTATGTTGCAATTGAATTGCTCATGTTTATTGCGATAGTCATCATCAAAAATCGCATTGCATTCAAAACACTGAAGTTTTATTCGTTTTCGTTTTGGTTTTGAACCGCGCATGATACAGTCAAACAGAGACGTAGAACACCACCAGATCAGTCACAGTGAACAGTAGAATGAAAAAGACAGAACATGAGACGTCACTGGACAGTTGCCAGAGGTTAGTAATAATTTTATGTTGGCAATGAAAAATGTCAAACATATCCCCCCAGGTGTGCAGATAACAAATCCCCCCCAGAGTCAATTATCTTCAGCCCTTGGAGGAACACATAACACTAGCTACACATAAATTTTACAAAATTAATGTTTTGTCAAAATAAGTTGAGAAATTTGAGTTTTAAAATGGCAACTTGCTGCCTGCCGACTGAAGGTACTGTAATGACGAATTTGCCGACTAAACAAGACGTATGATAATTATTGGAGGGGGTGAAGCACCCACCCACACCCCCGCACTCGCGACGGCCCTGAGGAGACATGACATAACCACAATTTGATGTTTTTAGACAAGGAAGACGAAATGTGGCCGCTACTGCATCACAAATGAAAAATATGTTTGGACTTGGCTTTACAGTATCTCAAATGGCGGAACATCATATTAGCAGGCCAACTGTCTACAAACTTTTGGCTGAAGCAGGTGTTTAATACTCTACAACATATAGCACAATGTCTGATTCCCAACTGGATTAATAATCACTGAAATAAAAAGGGCCCACCCTAATGCAGGTGAAGTAAATATTATGGGGCATTTAAGAGCAAGGAATATCTAAGTGCAAGAATGAGAGTACGGGCTTCAATTCACCGCGTAGATCCAACAGGACCTTCTCTCCGAAGTGCAAGGACTTTCCGCCACAGACTTTATGAAACACCAAGTCCAAATTACATCTGGTATTTGGATGAAAATCACAAATTGGTTAAGTGGGGATTTGTGACACACCTTGCCATTGATGGTTACACAAGGGTTATTACATTTGGAAAAACATCTAACAATAACCAAGCTGATACTGTGCCAAGAATTTTTAACCAGGCTGTTGAGCAATACGGCAGACCCTTTCGTGTTAGGACTGACTATGGTGGAGAAAATATAAAGGTTTGGCAGAATGATTGAGCACCGGGAGCCAGAAAGTGTAATTTGTGGCAGTTCAGTACGTAATCAACGAGTTGAACGTCTAAATGGAGATGTTAACACACAGGTAAATAGATTCTATGCAGAGATATTCAGGGAGCTGGAATTTGAAGCTAATTTAGACATCAGTAATGCAACACATAAATTCTGCCTACATTATGTCTATTTGCCCAGAATCAATAAGACTCTTTCAGAGTTTGTCAATGCACACAATTTCCATGGCCTATCTACTGAAGGAAGTGCAACTTCTCTTCAACTCATGTTTGCTTACCAACACTTGATAGAGATTCACCATCTGTCACTTCATTCCACAAATTACCCCAGTGTTGATGTGAATGATTTATTATTGAGCAGACAGGAAGAACTTCCTCCTGGAAGTGTTGCCATCAACCAACTTTCTGCCTAATGACAAACTTGATGAACTCAAGAACCTTGTAAACCCACTTGATTTCTCACTTCAGAAAGGGAAAGACCTTTACAAGCAAACCATTGAATTTGTTGGGAATTTTTTGTTAAGTCAACAATCTTGATTAAGACAACTAAAAATTTGAGTAATAATTGTTTGTATCCATAATCCATTTCATCTTATCTTAACTGCACCATTAACAAAACAATATGCACTGCATCAACACAACAGTAAAGATATAATTAAATGTGACAAAAGTTTGAGTTTATGAGTGAAGGTTTAGAAAATTTCCCTCTAAATTTGCATGGAAACCTCTGCACGGCATCTAAAAAATCCAAAAAAAGTCCCTGCATCATTTGATTTATTGCAGCTTTTGAGCTTCAGGTTTCCAAAGGAGTGTTTTTAAAATTATATATAAAATTAAATAATATTACTTTTTTTATTTGTGTTTTACGATGGGGAGTTTAAGCGATATTACAAATCAAATTCAAGATGTTATAATCGATGCGAAAGCTCCAACTAAACAAGATATTAAGAATATATTTCCATCTCAAGTTTGTGTTTTTGATGTTGATTCTATGTTAACTTTTGTTATATCCACTCAGATATGAGCTTGTACAGGCAATGAGACCGGCACTTGTGTATATTGTCTCCCTGTCGTCCTTGGTCCTATTACATATGTTATCAATTGTTCCTTTGCCACATCAACGTTCCCAGATGAAAGGAAATTGGCTGAAGTGATTTCAGTATTGAAAGAAGGGGACTTCGAAATGTCATTTCGAAGATGTGTGAGAGAGTTGTTCTTAGCCAATTCAATTCTTATTTGATCCGCAATGGTTGATTAAGCTCAAAACTAGGTGGCAACAAAAAACATCAATCTTCTGAAATTTTAAATCTATATAAGTGCAGATAACTTTCTGTTGTCCATCGTATCCAGCAAATGGTCAGTTGTTAATAGATTTAAAATTAAAAACAGACGTTAATAGATTTAAAACAGACGTTAATAGATTTAAAAATAAAACAGACGTGCTCAAAGGGCTCGTATTGGGTCATTTTTATCTGATACCCTCCCTATTACCCATGGAGTACTGCAAGGTGCGATTTTGTCACCATTACTCTTCTGTATATATACTTATGATCTTCCAAAAGTGACCCAAGCAAGTGAGCTCTACTCCTATGTTGATGGTTCCAAAGTATCGCTGTCATTCTCTATTGAAGAAGCGTCAGCACCTAAACGTAACCTTGAGTCGGACCTTCGTCTGGTTGCCTAATTGTGCTGCAAAAACACATTAATAAACCCTGGAAAAACTAAGTTTCTCCTGGTTGGAACACGACAGTCTCTGAATTAATTGACAGAAAAGATGTTCTTGAATTTTTTAAATAAAGCAATCGATCCTGTCCCTTTTACAAAAGATCTTGGACTAATCCTAGACTGTAAGCTGACTTATAATGAACACATCAATCATCTCACGTCGACGTGTATGGCAAAATTATGCCAAATAAACCGTATGAAACATTGTTTTGATCGAAATATGTTGACTTATATCATCTGTGCTGTGGTCATGGGCAAATAATATTATTGTTCCACAATCTGGTCAAATACAAGCTCATCAAATATTAAGAAATTACAAGCTGTTCAGAATTTTGCGTGCAGAATTATAACTAATGGGAAAAAATTTTACCACATTACGCCAGTTTTACATGACATTATGGAACAGTGAAATTATGGAACAGTCTGGAAGAAGATCTTAAAAAACTGCTGTTAATGTCATTCAAGACTAAATTAAAATGGTATATGCTAAGGTAATACTTTGAAACCTGATTACACGTTTAATATTACTTGTAAATATTGTGTATATTTGTATTCTCCTTTTACCATTATAGCATGTAAGTTAATATTTTATAGACATAGTATATATTAGTTTTTAACTCTCTTATTTTGTAATGTAAATAAGTATTGAAAAACCCGATTGGGAATAGATATTATGTATAATATATAATAATAATAATATTGTTCAATATATGTTTTTGAATGACAGGGATATTCGGTATAACAAATAAGCCTGGGGTATTCATTATAACAATAAATATGAATGATGATAATGACAATAGTGTCTTTATTAAAAAACACGTGCACTTAAAAATGTAAAAACAAGTGTAGATAAAAGTATAAATAAAAAAGGGAAGAGACTTTTTATTGAGTAAAACATCATGGCTGGTATAGGCTGTGTTGTGAATCGAATTCAAAATGTTATAATTAATGTAAAATCTCCAACGAAATGCGACATTAAGGGTTTATTTTGTCATCATCATCAATCTTTGGATATTGACTCTCTTTTTACTTTTATTTGTGTTTTGATATATATTCATGTATATGGTTCAACACACGTTCAAGAACAACATGAAGGAGATTCTTGCAGAGTACGCTCATATACGTCCCGGAAAGTATTGCATGGAGGTTCCAATTTATTATACATCCCACACATGTCATATGTATGAGGAATACATTGATGTTTGGAATCATGTTAGAGATGTATTGAGGTTACCGAGAGGGATGTTTAAGTGTGATTTCATTGTTCAAATTGAAGATAATCTTTATGGAATGCTACATGTCAGAGTAATAAATTAATAGGTGATGCAGTTAAGAGTGTTTAGGTGGATATAAAAGCGAATCGAAAATCAAATTTTATTCATGTACATGGTTCTTATTGAGTGAAAAAATTATGTACGGATATTGATGACGTGTTGTGGAATGTGGTGGTTTCCAGACAATCATGGAGTCAGAGAAAAATAGCAAGGATTTATTTAATGCCTTTAATACCATATTATCATGATATTGATTAAAAAGGCACATATTATTAAAGAGGCACATGTAGTTATCAATGTATAAATATATACTGAGACTTTTTTAAAAAATGATTTATTACATCATGAAGTGGGAGAAGATTGTTAAACAATGGTATAACGAGAAGAAGGAGAATTGCAAAGTTTTATCAATTACAGATTTGGTAAAAGTATTGATTGAGAAGGGGATTATACTGCGAGGACTTAAGGAACGAGAGTCTATGACTTTACATTGTATTTTAATAACACAGATTACAATGGAGGTTATGGAAAGTATACATGTACCTCAAGCTATTCAAGATAGAAGTACTTTTGTGTATCATATGAATGCAAAGGAGGTGATGTTGTCTAAAATGAGAAGAAAGAATGGGGAGTGACTTTGGTGTTTGGAGAAGAATACCGGGGTTAACCTGGAGCATTTTCATAAACTTCAGACACCAGGGTAAATAACACGTGTTTTTTAAGAGTGTAAATGAAAGTTTTTTAACAGTATAGAGTATAGGGCTATGTTATCTCAACTCTTGGTCCAAATTCAGGAAATCATTGTCATCAAAATCAGACATGTTGTCTTCACTGATAAAGAAGGGAATAATAAAAGCATAAGAAACATGATATGAAATATGACAAAGCAAACTAACTGAACAACATATTTATTACTCTGAATCACTTTCTTTCTCTATACTTCTTTCATCATTCATGTCTTCAATGGCCAGCTGTGTAATTTCATGTGATCTGTACAAGAAAAATCAAAAATGTTTTGAAATCACAGACTTTTTACATAAAAATTGTCGGGAAGAATTTACCAGAAGACCATACCTAATATCCTCCAAACTGCTATCATTGGAAAACTCTTCTTCATCATCAGTAAACATTGATGTATTCCCTTATCCTCATCTCTTGGTGTGATATTATGACTAATGTATTATAAATAATATTTTCTTAATAATCTTATCAGCTTGTTACATGAAAGGTAATATTTATTGATGCTGATAAGTCAAATTATTAATAGCAGTATACTTCATAGGTTTATACCTTTCAAGTGATATACTTGGTCCACCAAAGCTTGAGTCACTGGCCATTGGTGGTAAAATCGCTGTCTTCCATGCGCTTTAGATGAAGTTCTTGAACTTTTTCCCATAAGAATATCATTAATTAAATTTTGAAGTAAACCAAATCCAACATTTAAACCAATGTTACTAACTTCTCTTGTTATGGGTCTGAAGAACCTACCAATTTTACGAAAAAAACCATATCCTTCTTGTATTCTCTGACGATTCATTTTTAGTGCAAAGTTTCAAAAACTTTGCAGTATTGTGATGAGTGGCGAAAATTCAAACGAGTCAGTAAGTCAGACAGTCAGTCAGTCAGTCATAGTGTAAACTTTACGGGGGGTAGGTTGATTTATGCGTATAGTACCTTTTTGAATATGATCAGTAATTTAAGGTTTTTAAATCAGTTTAAATTGCTTTATCTATTAATGCACTATACCCCTCTTGCAAAGTTCACCAAAATATTTTGGAATTTTGGCAGTTACTGTAATTTTTGAAGCATTGCTTTTCCGCGGTTTGGGTTTGTCTTAAAGGGGTTTGCGCAGAATTACCCCCCGGAACACCCGATTCTTTCTTACACGTCGCAACTGCGCATGTGCCGTAGAGACTTGAACATTATTCACAATGTAAAGAAACGAGGAGCGACGAGCATTGCTTCAAAACATTCCGGGCGTAAAAATCGA